CGGGGGCACAGGCTGCCCCCGCGCCCCCGTCCGGTGCCGCCGGCGGGCTGTGCCCGTCGCTCCGGCAGCTCCCTCGGCTTCCCGAGGGCAGCCAGGGTCTCCTGTCGGCGCCTCTGCAGGGGCAGGTCCGGGGCCACTAAACCCCCGGTGTGTATCTTGCGAGGAAACTTCGTGAAGCCCGAAAAATTCCTGAACGCTTTCCCCAGACGCGGCCGCGTCCCCGAGCTACCCCATAGAAGGACGGGAGGGGGCTCCGCTCTGCGGGAGGGGGTCTCCGCCCTCCGAGTCCCCCCTACCATGTCCCTGGGTTCAGTCGAGTGGGAGCGGGGCCGGCTTTTTTAACTCTTCTGACAGCACTTTTTGAAAACAGAAACCCGATGAGGCTGCAGAAGAGAGATCTCGCTCCCAGGCTGAGGAAGCCCAGCACCTTTTTGAGCTGAGAAGGACGGTGCAAGATTAGGGGCGGGTGAGGAAAGGTTTGCAGGCAGATTTTAATATTAATAGTTTTGGTGGCGAGAAAGAGACAGACAGAAGGGAGGTTGCTCCTCTGGGCAGAGTCGCTGCGACAGTGATGATGGATGACCCCGCACAGCTAAACAACTCCTCCCCTTGATCCCCATACGGTGTCAAAGCTACTTTACTTGCAGCTTTAGGAATAAAATAAATAAACACCCTCAGCCCCTTCCTTGCATCGATTTATGGATCATTATGAATCAATTACTGATCTTAATATTTTAGAATATGCCTACATAAAAAAGGGGTCTGCGACCGGAAAAAAACCCATTAATCTTTGCCTTAGTAAGAAAGATTTTTTTTTTTTTTTATAGTCCTGTGGCTAAAATATCGTTGCTAATAATTCGGGTTTAACCATTTCCCAAGAGCTGCATTACTGGGGAGGAGTGGATATTGTAGGTGCGCATCTCAGAGAGCTACTTTTTCACCAGGGTGTTCCACAACGCACACAGGGAAAGGGCAGTGCATCGTTTGTGCAGCCTCATTGCTTAACTCTTCCAGAAAAAGGGGGGGTTAAAAAAAGGGAAAAAAAAAAAAAATGGGGGGGGTGGGGGGAACAGAAACAAGCCCCATAATATCCCCACCCCCGCCAACTCTTAATGTGGTGCCGTGAGAGGGAGGGAACGAGGCTGCCCGGGGCGCAGAGCGGAGCCCGGCTTGGTGGCTCCGTGCTATGGGAAGGAGGTTTCAGCGGGGACAGAAAGTGTGTGAAGTTGAATTTCTCTCGCTTTCTCTGTATTCTTCCATTTGCAGCAGTGTTTGAGGATCTCAAGGTGTTTCTATGGCTACCTTGTGTATGTGGGAGGGTCATATGTGGGGGTGCCCAAGAGAAAAGGCAGCTCTTGGGTGATCATTTATCAATGTCACCCACATAATGATTCTCTCTGCAGCCTTCTATTGATGAGGATAATTACATTAGCTCAGAGTGACTGATCAATGAAAAACCACCAAACAAAAACTTCTTTGCTCTCCTATAATACCAAAAACCGATACAGAAATAAGATAGAAAGTGAGGGTGGGATTTCTCTTTCTATTTAGCAGTGATTTTTTAACGAACAAGGAAAAGCAAGGAAATGTTATCCCATTGGCTTCCTTTTGAAAAGAGGCTACTATTTTTGTGAAAATGTCTACTTAAACCTCTGGGCATCACTCCTTTCCTGTTAAAGGCAAATCCTTGTATGAACTACTGCTTCTCCACTTGATCCAAAAACTTTTGCTTTTACACTTGTGTTTTGTTATCGGGGAGTGCGGGGTGTAGGGGAGGGAAGAGTACGAGAGTTTGAAGTTGGGAAGAAGGAAAAGGAAGGCAAAAAACTTTTGTTTGTTTGTTTGTTTTGGCAACTGCAATTGTCTTTCTGTTTGTCAGGTTTTCTTTGTTTTTGTCACTTCATAAAGTGGCTCTATTAAATGTGGCCTCCCTGAGATGCCGCTCTGTCGGTGAAAGTTTGCAATTAAATTACGTGTTCGTTCTTTCCAGAGCTAAAAATCAATGTTTTCTCAATTAAAGGGAATTTTAATGCTTTTACTTGAGAGTTGTTAAGGATGCCGTAAATTTTATTGCATTGCTTCTAAGCTCCCAAACCCTGTCAGTGGACAGGTTGATATTCGTGTTGTTTTTGGGGGAAGAGCTTGTTGCTGGTTTTGTTCTCTCTCTAAAGGGCCTTCTTCAGAAAACTCAATCATTTTGAATAACTGCAAGACAAACTGATGCCAAGGGGGCGGGGGGAGCCAAGGCTGTTCCTCCTGCCCTCTCCTGTTTCGTACGGGCGATCGGCACCTCTTGCTCTGGCAGAGCAATCTGTCTGACTCTGTTTCCACAGGGTGCAAGGGCGGTTATTCAGCTTTTATGGAGAAAGGGAGAAATGTTTCCATTTAGGAGCACGAGGTTCGACAAAGTCCCTCTCGGAGAAACCCGGGGGGGCTGCGGGAGGGTGGCGGGACGCGGGTGGGCTGCCGGGGGCCGGGCTGGGCACGGCGGCCGCAGCTCTCCGGGCTGGGGAGGGGGAGCTGTCTGCTCGGCCCCTCACACCCCCAGGGTTGCCCGAAAGATCTTTCCGTAAGCAGATGTAGCGCTAATAAAGGAGTATGTCCGGACCTGGTGAAGACCTTATATGCCTGCAAGCATCTCTTCACAGAGACGACTACAAGTTGACTCTGGGACGTAAATGGGAGCAGGAATAGGGCTGGCAAAAGCTCTTTCTCCCCCCCCCCCCACCCCCCCCTCGAATATTTTGTCTTTACAAGCGTCTGCCAAGTAAAATCCCCATCAGAAGGCTGATCCTGAACCCATTTACACGGGGTTAATTCCTCGAGCCACAGGAGAGTTCGTCCCCGGGCCGTGAGATCAGAAATAGGCCCCTATCGCCGGGTTTTGTCCAAGGCGTGTTTAAAATTCCTTAAACTAGCTCCATGAAGAACTAGTGCAAACTCCTTTGATTAAAGCGGCTGACAAATTCTTCGAGATTAGGAGAGAGG